CGGGTTTCCACTTGCAAAAGTGGAAAGAACATATGGGATAGATTTTGTATAACATATGAAGGGACTAATGAAGTTAAACAATCCATACTTAATATCTTGTTGCATGACTATGAATTGTTTCGCATGAAACCTAATGAATCCATTTCTGATATGTACACAAGATTCACACAAATAGTCACATCTTTATATGCATTGGGTAGGGAACTAACGAACGCTGAAATAGTTAATAAGATACTTCGTTATTTGCCTATTATATATGATGCTAAAATAACTGCGATTACAGAGTCTAAAGATTTAAATGTTTACTCTATTGACAATCTTTTCGGATCACTAATTGCTTACGAGCAAGGAGTGAGTCAAAGAAAGATTGATGAAGGTGAACCACGAAGGAAGAATAACATAACACTGAAAGTGGAGAAGTCAGAGAGTGATCTATTACAACCTGAGGATGAAGATGACATTGCACTAATGACTAAACATTTCAAAAGCTTTCTGAAGAGGAAGCAAAAGAGATGCCAGCAATGGAATCGAGTTAAGTTCAATAGGAAGGTTTCAAATGATGTTATTTGCGATGAGTTCAAGAAACCTGGACACATTAAATTAGAATGCCCAAAACTCAAAGCCACTCCTATCAAGGAGAAGGTAGAGGAGAAACCAATAGTGAAGAAGGGCAAGAATAAATTCCAAAAAGCTTTCTAGGCGGACTCAGCTTCAGACTTGTCAGAAATTGAAAAGGAAGAAGAAGTTACCAATCTATGCCTGATGGCCGATAATCTTGATCATCAGATCAAGAAGAGGTATGTAACTTGACTTATAATGAACTTTTAGAAGTTTCTGAACACATACATGTTGCATATAGGAAGTTAAAGAGAATATATGTTAGTCTGAACTTAGAGTTACATGAACTGCAAAGAGAACAAGAGATCCTTAGGAAAGATCATGCTTTAATTGATAACAACAACATGAAATTACTTGATGAGTTTGACGATTTGAATAAGAATCATGAAAATTTAAAATCATCCAATACAGAACTTGAAAAAAAATTTAAAGATTTTAAGGATGAATCTGAGAGCAAAATTTATCGGATAAATTATACAAATCGTATATTGGAATATATGAATTCATTTTATAAACTAAAGATAAAAGCTCTCGAGGATAATAGGATACCCCCAAGACTTGAAGATTTCACTAATCATATTTTGTATCTTAAATTTATGCAATCCATGAATAGACATAAAAACTATAGAAGATTAAGAAACCCATTTTCTAAGTAAAAACTATAGAAGATATAAGAAACCCATTTTTGAACAAGAACCATTTCACTAATCCTATTTTGCAATCCTAAATTTTCTAAGTACTATTCGTATTGTACGAAGAGACCTTCGTACAGACGACGTTCGTAGTACGAAATAGATACGCACAAGTTTGTCCCGATGATCATAAAAAATTTTCTAAACTAATCGTATTGTACGAAGTGCCATTCGTACAAACGACGTCTAGAGTACGAAAAGATTGAGTCTCTTTTCGTCTCGACGATCTAGAAATTTTTATGAACTAATCGTACTGTACGAAGTGCCCTTCGTACAGACGACGTCCAGAGTGTGAAAAGAATGGGTCCCTTTTCATCTCGATGAACACCAAATTTTTCCTAAACTGTTCGTACTGTACGTTCTCATGTTCGTACAGACGATGTCCAGAGTATGAAATTGTGTGGTATTTTTCGTCCCGACGAATCAGGAAATTTTCTGAACAGTTCGTACAGTACGATATAGGTTCGTACAGTACGATCCTCGTGTACGAAAATGGTTCGTACCGGTTTGTACGAGCAAATTTTAAATTGTTCGCACGTACGATTATCGATCATACTGTATGATCATGTACGCTCAAAATTGAAATTTTCATTATTCTGGACGTTTTTTCATGTCTTTTATATATAAAGTCCTTAGAAACTGACATGGATGAATCTAGTCTTCGTGATTTCTTAGAGAGCAAATGAAAGTGTGATTTGGGAGAGTGTTTGAGAGAGAGTTCTTGGAAGTAGAGTGTGGGTTGACAAGGTTACTCAAATGTAATAATCTCTTTTGTTTTTGTATCAATTCTCTTCCTTTCTTCTTTCTAGTTTCTCAAGAGAAGATCTTTGGAGAAGATTCGGTACTCTACCGACACTTGGAGGGTGTGAAAGGACGACGGTACTCTGCCGATACTTGGAGGGTATGAAAGGACGATTACAATATGCCGGATATTTTTGGAAGAGAGGAAAATTGTAAAAGCTTCTCCGTCTTGCTGTGGGGGAAAAATGAGAGTCACTTTGGTAATAGTGCAATATCTGAAGAGGGAGTCTTTAGGGAGTGGATGTAGGTCATGTTGGACCGAACCACTATAAATCTTTGTGTTCTTTTTATTTTTGCATTTTATTTTCAGCATTTTATGGTTGTGATTGAAAAGCTTATTTTAAAAGAAAAATCAAATTGTAAAAATAATTAAACGGTTTTCTATTAAAATTCAAAGAGATTTTTTAAATAATCAATTCACCCCCTCCTGGTTAGCCTTGGGACAATTGCGTAGGTCTAACAACTTATACGGACTTTTCATCTACGGTATAAGCAAGCCGCCAATAACCACCATCGAGAACGCCTATTTAACGTTGGAGACTTAGTTATGGTTCGATTACGTCGAGAGCATTTTCCACAGGGAGCTTATTCTAAGCTCTCTCGCCATAAGATTGGTCATGTGCCCATTACTGCAAAAATTAATGATAATGCTTATACTGTCGCCTTGCCACCAGAATGTAACACGTCTCCAACTTTCAATGTTTCGGACATATGGGCATGTACACTGCTAGATGAAGCTGCTATCACTTGTAGCTCGTCGGAGTCGAGCTCTTCCGACGTCGAGGAGGACTGATGCAGAGCATGTTACTATGGAGGCTGGTGGAACAGTGGAACACGTCCCTAACCAATTCTCACACTCTCCACTATCTGCCATTTCTATTTTCGTTTTTCTCCCGTACATGTTAGCTTTTGGTATTAGTTATCTGATATAGTAAAAGGTTATTAGGAGTAGCTACATATACTCAAAGAGAAGAAAAGATAGACAGCTTTTGATTATCTTGAATACATAAAAACATAGAACTTATTGCTCCAGGTATTTCGGTGTCCTGTTTTTCCTTTGCATTATGTTATCTTGCAGGTTACTCCCGCTATCTTGCTGTAAGGTGCCATCAACTGCCACAAAGGTTGTATCACTAAGCAAGAACAGGTAGCAAGAAGTTTCACTCAAAGAACTTTAATTAGTTTAAATTTGGACAGTGAAAGGCTGAAAAACTACCCATGAGATAGGTAGATAAAATTAGCTTTAAATGATTAGGATGGTAAGAGAGTAGACCGAAGGTAATATGTATGGAAGTTGTGCAAAATAATTTGTGCATTATAGATTTAACACCTCATGTTCAATTGTTCATAATAGATTAGGATGCCCAAGCATATCTCTTCAATTTCAATTGTTCCTTGTATGGGATGTTTCCATATATAACTTCTTGTAAAGTAGTCCACACTATAATCAAAACATGAAACAGTCATAGTGATATCTTATGATAAATTCCTTGAGTTTGAATTGTCAACACTTTGATAGAGCATAGATTTCTTATAAATCCACAATTTCCTTTATTTTTTTCATTGGATAGGTTTTGGTTAGATAATTTGCATCTATCTTGTGTTTGAGCTCTTTGGTCAGATTTTTTTTGTCCTTCTCTTCTTGGTTGGGTGAGCTTTAAAATCCTTGTGGATTCACATTTTGGTTTTAAGTGTTTCTAATGATATAGTTCGAATTCATTATCAGGATGAATTTATCAATTTTCTTAATAGGAACAAAAACTACAGTTGCATAAACTTGAATGGTTCTATGTATGACATCGACCAAATTCTGTATCTGAAGTATGATTTTAGTAAGTTGAGGGAAAAAAAGGCAGTGATATGAAATAAATCAAACGAATTTGCATTTTTTTCAAGCAGCTCAGAGCTGATGTCACTTCTCAATGTAATGAATACGATAGGGAAAAAAATTGTGATGCCGAATACATTAATTTTATTCAAAGAGGGATGAGATTTACCGCGTGATATTTTTGGAAATATATGAAGCCATATGGTTAAGCTTGTTATAACTATCAGCAATAAGCATCTTTAGTTTGAGTAAATCAAATTTCTATACCAAGAAAAGCATATTCTTTATACAAATATATTGAAAGTATAATGGCAAGACTATAAACAGATGAATCTTCCAATAGTTTGGGATACCTTACTTTTATTTGTTTCCTGATAGTAGTTTGATGGAATTATGACTTGGCATAATGAACAGTGAGTCCTGTGCTTCCAAGTAAGTTGGAAGCATCAGCTCCCAAGTTAGAGCGTTTACATAATGCTTTGAGCTCATTACTTCTATGCAGTTTGGGAAAGCTTCATTTTGATGCACAAAAACTGAGCTTAAAACAGAATTGTAAGCAGTAAACCTGCATACTAAGGTTTCATTTGGGATGACTTTCTTAATACTTCTTAAAGCAGCTTTTTAGTACAAAATATTAATTTTTCTATTAAAAAGCTTATTTAAGAAGCAGTAAGAAAGTCATCCTAAATAAAGCCTAAGAGGGAGATTATAGATTTCATTACTTTCCCAAAGCCATCCTGTTCACTTCAGAGTAGTTTATGCAGGAGTTGACAACGCATATGGTATGATTTTTAAATTAAAAATTCAACGAGCTATGAAAAGTAGTTCCAATGCATCAGGTATAAATAAGATAAAAAGTGCTTTAAAATATTGGAAATTAATAAAGCGATGGAACATGGCTTAAGTTTGGAATATGTGATTACTTCAGCATTTCTCTCTATTGATAAGTTTGGATTATATATCAGCAATACATTACTAAGGCTGTATTTCTAAATATGATACAATATATAGTTTTATCTTCTGACTGGTAAACCGGCTAACTATTTAAAGAAATTTTGTGTCTTTTTAACAGGACTGCAAGAAACCATTCTGAACTGAATTCCAACATAGACGGTAATAATGAGTGGATGAGTTCAACGGATTAATCTGAAACATATTTGGCAGGTTTATTGCAATAACTAGCAAATCCACACACTTCAACTAAAAGTTGTGGAAGAATTTCAGCAGACTTACAGAAAAAAACAATAATTCTGCAATGACTTGTCCACCTCCCCTGGCGACACTATCTGATTTGATTTTTGTACCCTCATCAGTCAACTATCCGGTGCACCTCGTGTGTATGTAAATCGTGAGAATTTTCGTCTTGCCTCATGTTGTCTATTTTAACCTTGATTGTTAATTCATCACTGGCTGTAGACTCTCGGAAATATGCAGCCCTTCCTAGTTCTTCTACCTCCTCAATAACAAGTTCCAGCCTTGCAACCATCTCAACTAACAAGGAAGCAAAGGCTGCAAATGGAAGTGCCTCTGAGAACTCAAGGGTGGTTATTGCAAGCTTACTTAGCGTTGGTCTTAGTTGTTTTTGCTCAGATGAATTCTTTGGTTGGTCTGCAATCCTATTGCTCTTCCATTGTAGCATTACTGATGTATCAGTTTTAAGTGAAGGCAAGGCAACAGCTGAAGAAGCCTTATCGTGCTTTGTTTCTGTTACCTTGCGGCCATTTTTTGAACCAAGGAAGAGACGTGGGTGTGATTTGATTGCTGAGTTGAGGTCCCGCAAGGCTTCATGGAGATGGTCTGAGAGAGCATCATGAGAGAATAGGCGGCGGTTACTTATGCTATAAGCTAGCTCAACTAGAACCTTGGACACTTCTGATGCAACTCGCATGCATGGGTCTCGGAACAGTAATCTTACAGATTTGGGAGCCTGTAACAATGGAAGCCTTAGCTCATTTAATGAGAGAAGAGAAGAATCCTAGTATGAAATGTTTAAACCAGTCAAGGAGACTAAGGGACCAAATATGTCTTTGATCTTTTTCTCCTTCGATTTCCATTTTATATTGAGGAGAAAAATCAAGTTAAACTTAAATAGGCCAAACTAATTTTTTCATGCGACAAGCAAACAGATTAAAAAAAGAGAAACCATAACTAACAACCTGGATTTCTGATTGCAGGCAGCCATGAAGAGCCACAGCAGTGTACCCAAAATGTCTAAGAACTGTGCCAAGCTTTACATATTGTTGCCATGGATACTTGTGGCAGTGCCTAGTGGGCCTGGGTTCCCAGCTTGCAAAGGATGCCTGGAAGACATACACAGTTAGCATTGAGTATGAAAAGCTATATGTAAAGGTTTCACAATTCACATGACTATTCTTACAAGAGTCTCATCACTAAATTTAGAATCCAAGACTGCCCTGTAACCTTTGTAAATTGAACCGTCTAATTTATTCTCACTGACTTTATCATCTTTGTCGTGAAAATACTCGTCTATGCAACCTGCAAACCATATCTTCTTAATGTTATTTGAAAATTTGTCTTGCGGAAATAGTATATATTGATACTACATTCCAAACATGATTTGATACCTTCAATTGATTTTGCTAATGCTTCAAATTTTCTAGCTGTAGACCTATGGAGATCCTCTCCTGACCAGTTGGGGAATATCAAAAGGCTCATTAAGAGGCAGATACCACAGCCAATGGCGATGGTGTAGAGGCGTTCCTGTGCCATATGCAGCACATTTTGCACGCGAAAGCTAGATACCGTTATCAGATTGAAGGTTAGTAGAAAAATTACCACTCCATAGTCATAGTTCTTCTTTATAAATGGAAAAAACCTCAAGTATGTTGACATGAAGCCTATAACAGTGAATCAAGAAAAATCTTGTTAAATTTCGCAGTATGCCATACATAAGTTATTTCAGAAACAATATCAAATCAACATCTCTACATTAAAGAAAATTATATTTCACTGTAGGCCAGAAAGTTGTGTAGGCATACCTACTAAAAACACTGTTGCACCTATGAAAACCGCACGGTAAACTCTTCCAGTTTCTTCTGCCATGAATTCTATGAAAAATGCTAAAGAAACAGCACAGAGTGTCCCAAACCCTCGATTCAAACCCTTGCACAGAGTTGCACCTAGCACCAAAAACTGAATGCATAAACATTTGATCGAGCAGAAACACCAAATGAATTCTCATTGTTTACTGATTTTAGAGATCATATTATGAATATACCTGCAGTGAATTCAAGCACTACAACTACTGTGATCACTGCCCACATTGCATTCTGCCCAACTCCCTCAAAGAGAGTTTCCAACAAATACAGAAAGGAAACCAGCGTCAAGGCTACGCCAACCTTGAGAGCATGGATGACCCTCCTTGGGTCATCTTTTCCCACCTTCCATATGTTTCTGCAAACATAAACTGGAAGCGTTCTCGCTTTCTTCATAAGTATATTTGGCTGTGCGTTGATTCTGGTTTCTTCTTTCTGGCTAAGCTGGTCTACTTTCATGGCCTTTGGCATAAATGGGAGTACAAAAAAATTTTCTTTATAAGTGGGAGAAATTTAGAGAAGGGTATCTGCAACTTAGAAAAATGGTAGATTGAAGAAATCGTATGCACATATGAAACCAGAGACACCTCATATATAAATCAGGAAGTTAGGAGACCTTCCTTCATGTGGTGGGTTTGCGTGGTTGTGCATCATTTTCTTTTAACAAAGCAAGCAACTGTAAGAGTCGATAATAACTTAGTTCACATGGTTCCTGCTATGAATCACAGCAGCAGAAACTTTCTTTTTTTCTTGGGTCAAAATAATACTGACGCATGCAGATCTGTGGCTCTTATACCTCCACCATCGTTTAGTTAAAAAAATAATTTGAGATAAAATTGTAATGATATCATTATTCTCTAAAAACTTAGTAATTAGGTGCAATGCCCTAAAGCATAGATTTTTTTATTAAAATATTAATAAAATGTGAAAAAACTTGAACACATTTTTTCATAAACTAAAATTCAAGAAGATAAACTTAAAGAAATCAAATGATTTTTTCATCAATCATTAATTCAATATAATTCATTTACATTTTAAACATTTAAAAAATAAGATAAAAGAACTTGTAAATGCTACGTGATTAATTTATTCTTTGTTTTGATGGAAGTCGAACGAAAAAGTTAATATTGGAGAGTTATTTTAAATTTAGGCTTCGTTTGGGACAGTTTTTGTACTACTTTTTTAAAACAGTTTTTTAGCATAAAAATTTTATAAACTAGAAATCTTTATACTAGAAAGCTATTTTAGAAAGCAGTAAAAATGCTGTTTCAAACAAACTCTTAATAATTAGTTGATGCATAACTATTTTTTATTTTATTATAAAAAATTAGTTGATAATAATTTATGAAGTTTTGTTGGATATGTGGAAATGAAGTTTTTATGAATCTTGATTTGCATCTTACATTTAATAATTAGACAGAAAATAAATCTTTTATACATCTTGATTTTGCCTTGAAATTTTTATAAATCTTGATACATTGTCATATTTTAATTTAATAATTTCATACATCTTAAGACAATGTGTCATCTTAATTTAATAGTAACTAGATAATAGTTTATAAAACTTTCCCTTCTAAATTAGATGTTACATTGTCATTTTTTGTATTATCATAAAAAAAAAAGTTTCATAAAATGGATGAGAGGATAGAAAATTTATTATATAATATCTAATCTTTATAATAATAATATTAATACAAATAGTGATAAATTTTTTTTCCTTCCTTGTACAGTTCTATATGCCTATGTTAGAAGTATGACTTATGTTTTGTTTGGGATGGCTTTTTTGCTGTTTCTTCAAGCAATTTATTAGTACAAAAATTTTAATTTTTTATCTAAAACACTGTTTTATGAAGTGGTAAGAAAGCCGTCCCAAACTAAACCTTACTATGTGATAATGTTCTGCATCTGATGAAGTGATCTGTAATTTCAACATTCATCCATATGGAATCAGTAACCATCTTTAGTAGAGTTTTGTTTGGGGAACTCTGTAGTAGAGTTACTCAATAACAAATATAACCATGTTAATTATTTCGCACTGGCAAATGCTTTTCGATCTTTCCAACGCGTATACCAAATTGGTCTTTAGCCTGATTGGATTTGTGCAAATGAATTGTGATTTATACTTTATTTTACATGCCACCATTTCATTAGGATAGATTACTCTAGAGTTGAACTTGTGCAATTCCTATTCTTTTAATCCTGATCATGTTCTGGAACCATCACCTCGCAAGATTCTCATGAAAGATTTTGGATGTAAAGAGTAGTATTCACAGCTGGAATATTGGCTTTAGCTTTCAAGTTGGCAACTGGATATTTTCCTGGACAGTGTTCTGTTGATCTATTAATCAAATAAATGGGCAAGTATCTAAACAGTTTCATCATTAATTTGATGGATATTTGGGAGCTGTTTTGGGTGGCTAACAGCTAGATTAGGTGTGATGTTTTTTCTTTTAAAATCAATGTCACTTGTTTGGTTCGCATATATTTTAGGATTACAATTTTTTGTTTTTTTTGGAACGGGGAATCCACCCGTTGCCACCCCCGAAAGGGCGCTTGACGGCGTGACTAATCTTTGACTGACTTAGAAGAGGCACCCACCCTAGAAACCTCCTGTCCCCGCACTTAATGGGGCTCCACTTAAGAGGCGCTGTCTTTCGAGGGGAATCGAGCACGGTTGGGATGTTCCCAACCGTACTCGTCCGCCATCCAAACTAAGCACCGGTGGGTAGGATTACAATTTTTGATTTGTTAGTTAAACCCAACATAAATGCAGCTGTTGGCTAAAAGTAATTAGAGGAAAAAAGTTAGAACTATGATTGAGTTCATTTTAGTTGGATTGGACTAATTGATATATTGTTTTGTCACCGTAATGACATTTTTATTGATCTGAGTATCATAAGGAAGTTCCAGATATTGTTAAATTAAGAAGATGGGTATTCTGTAAGTTAGCTAGGAGAGCAAACGATGGTAGATATCTTCGCTATTCTTATTAGGAGATCATATGTCCATCCATTTTATATTCTCTCTCTCATTCTCTAAACTCCATTTGTGGTGACCGCAGAAGGAAAAAAATGTACTTATGGTTATCACTATTTTTAATAAAAGAAACTTTAGGGGGGGGGGGGGTTAATTTTTCACCATTTTTTTTTTACTAACCACTACGAATTATAGTTTCTCTAAAAACTTAGGAGAGCTCGCCGCTTCATATGGGGGACGGTATTCTCTCAGAGACCATGATTTAAGAGTCTGGCACTCGGAAGCGATACTCCTGTCACTAATGACTCAACCTAAATGCAAATTATCTAGGCTAATGTCCGCGGACGGAAAGGGACACGCTTATTTTGCAGTGGTATAGGTCCTCCCCAGCTCTCTTCTCCAACTTTTTTTTTTGTTTTTCTGCCCCAAATTTTCGCCAAATCCCACCGATTGAAGCGGGGATTTCTAAACTTTCATTATTTCGTTCGACTCTCTGTCTGCAGGCATTTAGCCTGATTCGATGAATGTTAAATTTTTAACTGCTTTCCTCAAAAGTCCCTGATCTTCGGTCATTGAGGTCAATACAGTCAAACACATTGAAGGATAACTGGAGTTATCATCGAAGGAGTACCAAATGGAGGAAACACATTTCTTTCAGATAACGGCCAGGATTGGTAAATCCGGTTTGAATTAGGGGAATTGTTCCACAGAAAAATCCTACTGTAGACTTGAAAACCTAATTCTACCAAACAGCCATTAGGCATGGGCGGATCCTAATAGAAGCCTGTAGCGGTGGACTATATATGCAGAGAGCACGCCTTTAAAGAATTATTTTGTGTAAAAATTTCTTGAGAGGGTAGAGTGTAGGTTTTTTGAAATGACTTGTCTTGGGCTGATTTTTGCCACCCTCTCAAATAATTGCCTTTTTTTGTCGCGCCCACTGGGCTAAATAGAGTAGAATAGAATGCGATTAGCAATGAGCGAATATGCACGAAGTCTATTTTGTCCATACCGTTTGAACTCATAAAATTTTTTTTTGTCCGCACCTTAAAGAATCAGTATAGGGACTGGGAATCCGTCTCGCAGAAGCTGGAGGGCCTTAGGGCCTCTCTGGTGCAGTATAATGTAAATCACATCGAAGTCTCAATTAGGAAAAATATTTTTTCTATTAGAATATTCGGACATGCCAGGTGGAGTCACCGTTGCTTTCTGAACTTCAATGGCGATGCGTTATTCCTCTTCTTCCATCGGTCAGTTGAAGTTGAAAGCTGTTTTTCGGCAGTTCATCGTCTCTTTACCTTTATAGTCTTGCTGGAGATAGAGAAAGGGTGGCTGATGGCTCAATATTGATCTCCGTAAAATCACGGGGTTTCTCAAGCTGCGAAGAGCAACTCTATTACTCAACTTGCCTCCATTATTTCTACTTTAAGGTACTGGGTCTTGGCTTCGGGAAGTGACCGTGAATCATCCCGCACGTATGTAAGTATTCGTGCAGACTTCCTTTCATTCGCAACTATCCTCGCCTTCGTTGGCACACTCGGTGGCCCATAGGTCCCACTGGTGCAAGTGAGCCGATTAGTCAAATCCACAAAACTGCTTTTAATGATAAAACTCAACATCTTTAAGCATATGTTTAACTTAGCTCAAATTAAAATTAGATAAAGAATTATTGAGGAGGACAATTTTGTTTATTAATTTTCTAGAATTAAAATTTACTTTAAGAAGCAGATATAGAAAATCATGCCAAATGAAGCCTAAAACGTCGAGATAGAGGTGACTCAAATTAAGGTTTTATTCGGGACGACTTTCTTACTGTTTCTTAAAATAAGCTTTTTAATAAAAAAAATTTAAAATTTTTTTTAAGATAAAAAATTGCTTTAGAAGCAGTAAAGAAAGTTTCCACAAAGAAGCTTAAGTTTATTAACAAAGTAGGCATTTACATGATAGTTTATACATCTATAATTATAGTTGGGCTTGAGTCATCAAGTTTATTTATAGTGTCTACTATGTGTTTGTGTATATATATTAGTTTAATTCATATGAGAATTAAGTGCATAGTTATTAGTATAATTAAAAATAAAGGAGAATACTATAAAATGCAATAATATATATATAGTATATATAATTATATATATTATAATATATATATATATATATAATATATAT